CAGGCGGGGGAACTGCGTCGACGAAGGTGCCGGTGGATCTCCAAGATGCCATCTCCTGCTCCATGGCAGCTATCCACTGAGAGGCCCAGGGTCCCGAGGTCGCCTCAGCGTAAGTGCAAGGGGTCGGGATGTCAAAAGCGTCTGGGTCACCCTCAGGGACTAGCAGCATGGAACAGAGATGGGGAGCAGCCTCGGAGAGGAAAGCAAGCTTGAACTGGCGGTCGTCTAGGACGTCACTGCCTAGGGCAGGAGCACCCCCGACAGACGGAGGACAGGCAGGGTCAGAGATCAGAGCTGTGGCGTAGTCAAGGCGGCGGGTAGAGGCGAAGTCAGCGACCGCAGCGACAAGAGCGTCAAGGCACGAGACCGGAACAGACGGGTCGGTAACGAGAGAGGCAACGACCCGAGGAACAAGGGGACGAGCACGGGAGGGACGGTGAGACCAGACGTGCGACGGAGGAGTCGGGTCAGAGGACAGGGGAGGGGACACAGGAGGGGAACGAGGGGGAAGACAGGCCGGGGACGAGTCCGGCGGAGGGAAAACAGGGCCGTAGACAGGAAGAGGAGGAGACGGGTGGAGAGGAACAGACGCAGGGTCGGGGGACGGAAGGCCGAGCAGGCGAAGGGCTGACACCGGCGGGGACTGCTGCTGCGGCGGCACAACGGCGACACCTGGACCGCAAGCTGCTCCTCGGCTACCACCGGCACTCTCCACACCAGCACCCCTAGAGTCAACGAACGGGGGCTGCGACGGCGGCAGCGGCGGCGGCTGCGGTGGCAGCGACAACGACGGCTGCAGCGGCGGCAGAGGCGGGGGAGGAGGAGACGGGGGAGGGGACACCGGGGGAGGGGCGGCCGGCGAGGAGTGCACAGGAGGGCCACCAGAGTCAGAAGACTCCTCAACCGGGTCCTCCGACGGAAGGGGGGTGACGTGGGACACACCAGAGGGGGCGGGACGGGGAGGAGGAGGAGGAGGGGCAGGGACTACCGGGGAAGGAGTGACCAGGAACAGGGGGGGGTAATCGGGGGACCACGGTGGGGGAAGCGACGGTAGTAGGGGACGGACTCGTCAAAGGTGACGTCACGAGAGTGAAAGAAGCGGTGAGACGGCGGGTGGTAAAAGTGCCAGTCGGACGCGTCAAGAGGAAAACCGAGGAAGACGCAGGGAAGGGTGCGGGCAGTGAGCTTGTCCGTGCCGGAGGCACGAACGTGAGCAAGGCAGCCCCAGACGTGGAACGCAGACGCGTCACCAGGAGACCCAGTCCAAAGACGGGTCGGCGAAACCTGCGGCTGCTGAGGGTGCGGCCACAAGTTAAGCTGGTGAGAAGCGTAGCGCACAGCGAACGGCCACAGAAAATGGGGTGCACCGGCATGGATCATGGAGGTGCGAGCGACCTCCATGACCAAACCGATGCGTCGCTCAGCGACCCCATTCTGCTGTGGGGAGTCCGGTAGGGTGAACGTCTGGGTGATGCCCTCCGCACGACAAAAGCGACCAAGGACACCGGAGGCAAACTCGCCACCACGGTCTGAGTGAAGACGCAAGACAGGGAGACCGCGGTGGACACGCGCAGAGACAAGCCAGGGGATGAGAGCGCCAGGCACGTCGGCCTTACGCTCCAGGGGAAAGACTGTGGTGTAACGAGTGAAGTCGTCGACAAGCACAAGGAAGTAGCGCTCTCGACGCGGCCCAGGGACAGGGGCGGGGCCCCAGACGTCCAGGTGTAGGGTCTGCAGCGGCGCGGCGGTAGGGGGAAACGAGGAGGAGTGAGGGGCACGGCGAAGCCGACCCTCGACACAAGGCGTGCAAGGTGGGGCTGGGGAGGAGGGAAACGCGGGGAGAGAACCTGGGAGAGCAAAGACAAGACCGTGCTGGGACATGTGACGCAGACGAGGGAGCGCAGGGTGACCTAGGCGGTGGTGCCAAAGGAGGGTCGGGTGAGTGAGGGATCGACAGGAGCAGGCGGCAGCAACCTGGGTGAGCGCTCCAGCCGGGGGGGTCACGGTGTCCAGAGTGAACAGGCCGGACACCGGGTCCCGGGGGAACGTGGACAGGGGGGCACCAGTGGCGGCCTCGGTACAGACAGCATACCGCTCGTGACCAGGGAACGTAGTGGTGACGCCAAGGTCCTGGAGGCAGCCGACACCAACTAGGTTCCTGGAGAACGAGGGGATATGCAGACCTGTGAGAGTGCCCGAAGGAACCGCCGGACAGGGAAGGGTGGTAGAACTGCGGGCGACTACCGGACCGCCGGAGGGGTCAGCAAGAGAAACGGCAGCAGGAACAGGAAGCGGCGTCAGGGTGGTGGAGTCGCGGAAGAAACACCGAGAAGCGCCAGAGTCCAGGGTGAAGGAATGCGAAGCAGAGGCGGCTGGCGACGGAACGACGGCGGAAGCACCAAGACTACACAAAGCAGAGGATCCTACGCCTGACGCAGCAGGGGAGGCTACTCTAGGCACACCTACACTAGGCAACAGTGAGTAATAAGCTGGAAGCACACTAGAGTCATCAGCATACATCACATGCAGAGCAGAAACAATGGCATCCATGTCCATGTCAAAGATCGGAATCTTACGACTAAGCAAACTGTGCCAGTCCGGGAGGTCTGGCGACGGGCCGAGGCGCTGACGAAAGAGGTCGTCCAGGCGACGAAAACAGCGGGGAGTGGAGTGACCGATCTTACCGCAAACGAAGCCGCGGCGAGGACCGGTCTGGATCTGGTACTGACAACGCCCGCCACCGGAGCCACCACTCGGCACACCACCACGCGCCCGGCCACCGCCAGCGCCGGGCCACCCGGGCGGGAGGACACTCGTCTGCCGTGTCTGCGACAGCTACTGCGGCTGCTTCGAAGGCTGCGACTGCAGCGGCTGCTGCGGCTGCTGCAACTGCAGGGGCGGCCGCTCAGCTGGACTGGGCAGGGTCCCCTTGTCCGCTCCAGCACCAGACGACCCGACCCCACCACTACCCCCTCCCGCACCCCCGCCTCCGCCTCCGCCGCGCCCAACCTTGGGGCGGCGGCCCTTCCCCGAACGAAACTGCGCTGAAGCAGCAGTCTCAGCCACTGCGGCAGAGCCGTCGGAGAAGGTACACTGAGCGGGGGCACAACCCTGAAAGATAGGGACCGGCACGACACCGCTCGCCTGGGCGATGGAGCGGTGACGGGTCTCTATCACAGTCAGGGTGTCTACAAAGTCAGTGAGGGTGAGGTCTGCGGGGTGAATGCTAAGGAAGCGGTCGCGGGCGACAGCAAGGCGGTCAGGGAGGCGGGTGGCAAGCAGGTAGAGGGTAGAGGTAATGGGTGGCTGGTGGGCTCTAAGCTGTGCGTCAGTGCAGGCAGCGTGCCAGATCTCATCTATCGCGCGCAGGTGGGCAGCGAGGTCAGAGACAGTAGGGAAAGATGCAAGGTCAGGAAAGAGCATCGGGAGGATCAGGCGACCCACCGAGGCAGCCGGAGGGGTGGAATAGCGCTGGATGACAGCATCTAAGTATGCCTGAGCAGTGGTGAGGGACCTAAAGCGAGGGCGCTCGGACGGGGGAAGGGCGTTGCTAATGGCAAGCTGGGCAACAGCATCGCGAGAAAGCCAAACAGAGCGCGCACGGGCAGTGGCAGCAGTAGACTCGTGCTCAGTGGGGGTGGAGTCAGCGGGCAAAATAGCAGGGGGGTGTGGGCAGGGGAGCGTACCGTCAAGGTGTGCGGAAAGCGGTTCACCATCCTGCCGCTGGCCAGTGAGTTGGCGGCGGAGGTCGGCAAGCCACGCCTCGAACTCCAGAGGCTAGCCTTCAGCGTCGAAGCGAAGCTCCGCCGCCATCAGGAACAGTGCAGTGCGGTGCAGGGCAGTGCAGCAAGGTGGAGTGCGGTGCCATGCGGTACAGTACGGTGCAGTGCGGTGCAGTGCGGTGCCAGGCAGTACAGTGTGGTGCGGGGCGGTGCAGTGCGGGGCAGTACGGTGTAGGGCAGTGTAGGGCGGGGGGGGGGGGGAGAACCGTACCAGTGAGGAGGACCGGGGCCGGGGCAGGGACGAGCGCAGGGGCCGGGCCGGTGCAACGGGGCCGGGCCGGTGCGACGGGGCCGGGCGGGCGCGACGGGGCCGGGCTGGTGCGACGGGGCCGGGCGGGTGCGTCGGGGCCGGGCTGGTGCGACGGGGCCGGGCGGTGCGACGGGGCCGGGCGAGCGGGACGGTGGCCCAGGAGGGGCACGACGGGGCCAAGGAGGGGCGCACTGGGGCTGGGCGGGCGCGACGAGGCCGGACGGGTGCGACGGGGCCGGGCGGCTGCGACGGGGCCGGGCAGGGGGCGACGGGGCCGGGCGGGTGCGACGGGGCCGGGCGGGCGCGACGGGGCCGGGCTGGTGCGACGGGGCCGGGCGGGTGCGACGGGGCCGGAAAGCGTGACGGGGCCCAGGAGGGGGCTCGACGCGGCCCAGGAGGGGCGCGACGAGGCCCAGGAGGGGCGTTACGGGGCCCAGGAAGGGCGGTACAGGGCCCAGGTGGGGCACTACAGGGCCCAGGAGGGGCCCAGGAGGGGCGCGACGGGGCCCAGGAGGGGCACTACGGGGCCCAGGAGGGGCGCGACGGAACCCAGGAGGGGCGCGACGGGGCCCAGGAGGGGCGCTACGGGGCCCAGGAGGGGCGCTACGGAGCCCAGGAGGGGCGCGACGAGGCCTAGGAGGGGCGCTACGGGGCCTAGGAGGGGCGCGACGGGGCCCAGGAGGGGCGCTACGGGGCCCAGGAGGGGCGCGACGGGGCCTAGGAGGGGCGCGACGGGGCCCAGGAGGGGCGCTACGGGGCCCAGGAAGGGCACGACGGGGCGCAGGAGGGGCGCGACGGGGCCCAGGAAGGGCGCGACGGGGCTAGGGGGGTCGCGACGGGGCTAGGGGCACGACGAGGCTAGGAGGGAGACACGGCGGGCCGAGCTAGGGGGGGGCGAGCGGAAGCGGTAGGTGGGGGGGGGGGGTCCTAACCTACGCGTGATACCATATCAGAATTAGAGAAGTGAATGATAGTAGAGTGAGAGTACAAGCAGATATACCTAAGTGTTGTACCCTCTAAGAGGTGACCCCATACAATCTATACAAACATGACAAATACACATGTTTGACATATATAACCAAGATGGTCGTTCAGATGAAGAGTAGTGGGTTGTAAAAAAATCAGATGACACGGGAAAAGTGAGTCTGATTCTCAGATGAACAAACGGATTTCGTCTGCTTAACGGGAACCCTGCCAGTGGGGTTTTTTTTTTAACGTCAGCCCTGGCCAGCGCTACAAGTCGCAGGCGTTGCAGGCTTTGCGGCAAGCCCCAGTGGATGTTGCAGTGCCAACCATGTACCCCTTATACTGCTCCGATGTGCAGTGGCCCTCCTTGGCCCACGCCTCACAGCTGGAGGGACGGGTGGTTCAGGTGGTGGAATGGGAGGGCAGGGGATACAACATGAGTGCGCGGGAGAGGGCGAGCTGCAGGGGTTGCCATGGACATGCACGCCTTGCAGTGTGCTATTTCGCTCCTTGGTCCACGTGCGTCACAAATATTGGGGATGGTGAGAGAGATGGAGGTACGGGATTTGAAGGCCAGAGCAAGGAGGGGAGTGGTCAATATGTGAGCATGCGGCGAGGAGGAGAGGTGCAGTGGCCCTGCATGACTCATGCTCCGCCGCTGAAGGACAGGTCCGGGCACGGAAGAGCAGTGCAGCCAAGAGGCAAGTGGACGGGACAGCAGCACCCCCCGTGGCACGCTGCTGTCAGTCAAGCGATCACCCTCCCCCTCCCCATGAGCTCACTACGCATTGCTGTCCTGGCAGGCAGGGGTGACGGCAGCGCTGAGCGGCACGCTGACGTCGCCCATGCGGATCCACTTGGGCGCGGACCACTTGATGCCCTCCACCACCGGGCACGCGTAGTGCAGAGAGGACGGGTCCGGGCTGCCGTCCGGCTGCATGTTGAAGAACAGTAGAGCATCGCCTTTGCTTGGCTTCACTGGTGGACGCGAAGGGGCAGGGAGCGGGGAGTTTGACGGGGTGGGTTGGGCTCACGTGATGCCCGCCAGCACGGGGCATGCTTGGTGCAGCGGCAACGGGCCCGGGCTGCATGATGCAGAATAACAGAGCGGCGCCTTTGCGTGGCTTCACCAGTGGTCATGGGAAAGAAAGGCTTCATGGAAGTTGCTAAGGCCAAGGGGCAAAGAAAAGGGGAGGGAGACAGGGCAAGGCACCAACATGCGGCATCTGCTTGGCTACAAGACATGTCGTTCCGCCTGCCATGCCCTTCCCCCACGTCCATGCGCGCATGCATCGTCCATGCGCGCATGCATCTTCCATACGCGCATGCATCTTCCATGCGTGCATGCATCTTCCATGCGCGCATGCATCTTCCATGCGTGCATGCATCTTCCATGCGTGCATGCATCTTCCATGCGCGCATGCATCTTCCATGCGCGCATGCATCTTCCATGCGCGCATGCATCTTCCATGCGCGCATGCATCTTCCATGCGCGCATGCATCTTCCATGCGCGCATGCATCTTCCATGCGCGCATGCATCTTCCATGCACGCATGCATCATCCGGTCCATCTCCTCCCATCTGCCAACCGCTGACTCACACGCTGCTCAAGAACCGCTCCTCTCGCCTCTACCCTCCCCATTCCCCCTCTAACCTCTACTCCCATTCCTCCCTCTACTCCCCATTCCCCTTCTCCCCTCACCACCATCGCCATCCCCATCAACCCCAGCACCCCACCTGGCAGGAAGCCCTGGCACAGTGAACCAAGTGTGGTGTTAGTGCATGGGGGCACGGTGGCGGCACCTGTGGTCACGTTGCTGCGGTGCACCCCCGTCGTGGCGCAGCACTGGCCGCTCCTCCCTCACACACCCCCCTCTCGCCCTGACCTGCCAGCAGCCCCTTGGCGCAGTCGGACCACGAGTCGTCCTTGGGCGTGTCATCCTTGTGCGTGGGGAAGACGGTCTCGCCCCCTTTGGTGACGTTGTTGAGGTACATGAGCACGGTGGCGTAGCGGTGGCCGCCCAGCTGCGTGTTGACGGGGTCGGAGAAGTAGTCAAAGTGCGGGTCGTACTTCTGGCCCTTGCCGTATCGCAGCACCTGAGAGGCGTGGGTGGAGGGGTTGAGAGACGAGCAGCATATCAAGGCAAGGCGTCACACGGAAGAAAAGGAGGCAGTCAAAGCATGGGACGCACTTCTGACCCACGCCACACACGTAGGACCTGAGAGGGGGGAAGAGAGGGGTCGAGGGAAATGTGCAGGGGGATAGAAGAGGCGATGATGAGAAGAGAGAGAAGAGGGAGTAGTCAGAGTGCAGGTCGTACATCCTTGCTTGCCATACCACAAGGCCTGAAAAAAACCGCTTGTGCCTACGTTGGGCAGGCGTGGTTGATTCCATAATTTTTTGCAAGGGCAGAGGAGAAGCATTTCTCATCCACGGAGCACAGTGATGAACACGACGCCCTATGGAAACTCCTCAACATGGCATCTCCGTGTGTGACTGTAAGGAGAGTAACTACATGTGTGATGTGACTGTATGACATGGTAACTCGGTGGGTAGGTAGTGTGCGATGGACATTACATGAGGAGGTGCACACGTGGTGGTAAGTGCCACGGTACCTGCAGGGCCTCCTGATTGGCCACGGGAAGGAACGTCCACTCGCTGACGCGCTGCTCCATGGCGCGGATGACGTCATCCTCGCCCTTGCTGAGGAACATGCCTGACGACGTGCGCACCTCGCTCACCACGCTCTGCCCGCTCTTGCTGTCCGTCACGGCCGACCTGAGTCAGGGGGACGGCATGTGGAAAGGGGCGCGGATGGGCGGGTTGCCCGGGAGCGGCTGAGTACCGACATCGCTCACCACGCTCTGCCCGCTGCTGCGCTCCGCCACGGCCCACCTGAGGGGGACCACACGCTGACTGTTGACCGAGCTCACTACGCCCTTGCCGCCCACCCAGCGTGCCTACTCACGAGCTGTCCTTACGATGGCCCGCCTGCTCATTTGTGCGCTGGCATTAGACCTATGGAAACCAGTGGTACCCACGGCGGAGGGGACGAGAAACAGAGTGCACGAGCGGCAGCTCTTCCAGCGCTCGACGTGATCGCGGCAGGGATGCGCCTGTGACCGCATGCCGCACCGACTGCCTCGCATGCCGCACCCACTGCCTCGCATGCCGCACCCACTGGCTCGCATGCCCCTGTTTGACCCGCGCCTGGTGCCGCTATCAGCCCGAATTCGCGAAACGGAATCACGCGGCCAAGCCATGGCCACAGCACCACGTGCGCCGTTTCCGTCCGTGATAGCGGCGACGCTGCTCACGCTGAGGGACGACGAGCGCCCGTCGCAGTCGAAGCGGGTGAAGTGAAGAGTGCGCATCTGCGGTACCTGGCGAGTCGAGCGGCCGCGATCGCCACGATGTGGTCGCACTCCTCGTCCGACAGGAAGCTCTTATACAGAAACGCGCGCGGGTCCTTGTCGGAGAGCCGTATCACCCGGCTGAGCTCCACTCCGCCAGGCTCCTGCGCGCGGAGAGAGGGATACGCACGCATGAGACAGCAGGACGACGATCAGCTGCTCTAATTTCGCGTTTCGCAGAAGCCGGTTGGTGGGGAGAGGGACGAAGAACCATGCGAGTAAGTAGACTATTACTGTTGGAACGGAGCGACCAGGCATTGTGGCGGTTACAAGGTCGCTGGCGGGTCCGACCTTCAAGCCGGCGGCCAACACGTCCTCTGGACTGACCGACAGATCGAATGCCGTCGCGCACGCTGCGAGCGAAAGCACAAGCAGCGCCACAACACTCGAGCGACGAGCCATGTGGAAAGCCCCTCGTGTGCTGCACAATCGGAAAATGCAATTTAAAGGACGGAACTACTGACGGGGCAGACTGAAGCGGATATTCGGGGCAAGTTCTTGCAGAGGAAGGGAAGAGAAGGCTGACAAGAATGGCTGCAGCCGCAGAATGGCCTCTGCTTGTGTGATGCTGTTGTTTCCCTGCTGCTGCTCCCCGATGTGACACCGGATTCATCCCCAATTAACCCGCTACACCGCATGCGAGCCTACCCCGCCCTACTCGAACCCCATTAAATCTAGCCATACCTTCCACTTCCAGACAGACCAAGACGAACGAATGACGACGACGAGGGCAGCAAGTGGAGTAGCAGTAACCTGTCGCGAAAGGTCGCTTGCCAGCCTGTACGTGGGCAAAGCCAGCAGAGCAAGGGAGGTGTTACATGCTGCTTGGTCCGACGAGGTGTTACACAAAGGTACCCCTTTCTATGTTGCTTTTAGGTGATTCAAACAAAGGAAGTTCAATGGAACAATACCGTGATCCTCCGCATATAAGACCTGGGACGCTTGTCGGAAAGACCATTGAAAATTGGGGGGCGCTTTTAATTAAATTAATTACATAAACGCTAGCACTATTATAAGGATTATATGGAAATTTTATTTGAAAGTAAAAACTTGTAACCCTATCGAACCTCTTCTCTCTCTAGGGAGGGTACTGTCAACTTATACATATGTTGCTATGTAGAAGTTATAGGCTAGATAGTTGAATGTTGTTGTTGGGCTGAGAAAAAGCCCTTAGGATCTTTTGCAGAGACTAAGTCCCAGCTTGTAGAGACTTGAGACTTGGAGTAGTGCAGCGGAAGTTGAGGCAGTTGAACCCTTGTACTAGTATGTGAGAACAAGTGATTGATTAAAGAAACAAGCATACAGCAATATATAGAAGATAAGAAAGCAGTTGTAGAATACAGTTACAGGAACGGTTTATCGAGTCGCACAGCGACTCGATTGCCGCTTCGGTTACCATCCGTGATGTTGTAACGGTCAGTCGCAACCTCCAGTTGCGACCTTTCGAGTCCTTTCGCATTCTTTGTCCGCCCCCTCGTGTAACCTCCGTTGACTCGCGTGCTCCCCTGTAATCTTCCTCGAGTACAGTGTTACACTTCAGAAACGCTTAAGTCCTTGAGATATTTCCAACACTCCCCTTCGTTTCTGGAGTGCTGGAGTGTTCAGATCCGGTGACGTTTGTTTGCCCGGTTAGGAGCATGCAGTAGTCGAATTTTGCTTTCGCCAATTTCTTCGTCAGATAATCTGCGGCCATTTCTGTCGTCGGGCAGTAACTGAGTTGAAGTCTCCCCTTCGCGATTTCATCCTTGACGAAGAAGTACCGCAGGGCGATGTGCTTGGTTCGGTTGGCGAAGCCGTCCTTGTTCGCGATTTTGATTGCAGATTGGTTGTCGCAGAGGAGTGAGAAGGCGGGCAGGGTCGCGATCTTCGCTTCTTCGAGTAACTCTCGTAGGTAGAGTCCTTCCTTGGTCGCAGTACAAAGGGCGATATACTCTGCTTCAGCCGAGGATAGTGCGATTAACTCCTGCTTGCTCGACTGCCAGGAGATAGTTCCGATAGGTTCTAGTCGGTAGATGTAGCCCGTCCTAGACCGTCGATTTTCGCTGTCTCCCGCGTGGTCGGCGTCGACGTATCCGAGTAGTTGTACGGACGGTGTTGTTGTCTTGCTGTAGGTGAGCCCGATCGTCGGCGTGGAGACGAAGTAGAGTAGCGCTCGATTGAGTTCTTCGAGATCTTCCTGTTGCGGCTGCTTCAGATGTGTCGCCAGCTGACTCGCACTATAGGATAGGTCGGGTCGGCAGGTTACTGCTGCGAATAGTAGGCAGCCGAGCTTCTGTTGATACTCCTGGATTTGTTTCGCGGGGAGTTTTGTGGAGGCGCTACTGTTGTTCCCGTAGCGGTAGGGAGTTGGGACCGCAGTCGGTGCTAGACCGAATTTCTTCGCGACGGTGCTTGAGTACTTTCCAGCGTGTAGGTAGAACGCCGTGTCGTCTTCGACGATGTTCAGTCCTAGGTACTGAGTAACTTCGTCGGACACCGTGAGAGTTAAATCTTCTTTCAGCTCCCCTTCGAACCAGGTGGCGATGTCGATAGTGGAGCCGATGTAGAGCAGGTCGTCGACGTAGACGATGAGCAGAACATAATCTCTTCCCTTCTGCAGTCGGTACATCCCTTGGTCATGCGGTAATTGTAGGAAGCCGATCTTTGCGAGACGGCCGTGGAGATGCTGCTGCCAGAGCCGCGGGGCTTGCTTGATCCCGTATAGGGATTTTGTCAGTCGGCATATTTTCGTGGGATCGTTGATGAATCCGTGGGGTTGTTCGACGAAGATCTCAGCGTCCACAGGTGCGTATAGGAATGCATTCGCGACATCGATTTGGCGTAGTGGCAGTTTTTTCGTGGCCGCGACGGCGAGTAGGATGCGTAATGAGGTGTGACGGGAGACTGGAGCGAAGGTTTCTGTGTAGTCGGCTCCGTATCGTTGGTCGAAGCCTCGTACGACCCATCGAGCTTTGAATCGTTCGATGGAACCGTCTGAGTTGGTCTTGATGCGGTACACCCATTTCCCCGAGAGAACGTTTTTTCCGTTGATGCTCGTTGCAGGTACCAGTTTCCATGTTTCTCGGTCTTGCAGAGCTTTTAACTCCTTTTCCATTGCTTCCTTCCATCTTGCCTTATGTTCCCCCCCCAGAGCCTGCGACAAGGTTGAAGGCTCTCGCGGAGAAGGCGGCGGCGGATTCTGGACGGAGACCCAGAGGCCTAGAATCTGGAGTCCCGTGGGCGTGTGTCGAGGGGAATTTTCATTCCCGGAATAAGCTGCTTCGTCACCGTCTTCGGGGTCAGGTAAGAAATTGGGGCCGATGCGTTCCGAAATATTCGTGTCGACGGGGTGAGGTGTAGCGTAACCTTGGTCGGCGAAGTGGTAAAAGGTGTCGAGGTTGTTGCTATCGAGGGGATTTTCTTCATCGAGTGGAACAGGTACGGAACAGAATGGGAGTGGTCCGGCAGCTTCCGAGGCTCCAGGTACGTCTTCTTCTGCTGCGTCAGCCTCGGCAGTATGGTCAGCGAAGGAGCGAAGGCCCGCGAAGCCGTCGGTGGGGTCTTGTGTGTTGGCAAGGTTGTCCAGGTAATGCTGCAGCGTCAGTCGTTCGTAGAAGATAACATCGCGTGATGCCACCGTGTTTTTGTCTTGTATGTCGAGAATTTTCCACGCGTGAAAATGTTTTGCGATGCCGAGGTGTAGTCCCCATCGAGCTCTTTGTGAGAAGCGTCCTGCTCGGGCTGTGTGGGGTCTGTACTGTACCATGCAGCCGAAAACGCGGAGTAATTTTGTGCTGCCCCTTTTTCTTGTCCACAACAGGTGCGGTGATGCGTTGTTGGGAAGTGATGACGAGGACAGCAGGTTGTGCAGGTGAACAGCATGTGTCATCGCGTCTGGCCACAGTGCGTTGGGCAGCCTCATCCCCAGAAGCAGTTTTCGCATCGTCGTCTGCAAGGTCCGGTTCATGCGTTCTGCTACCCCCTGCTGCTGGTGAGCATAGGGCAGAGACACCAGGCGTCGGATTCCCCTTTCCGCGAGATAGGTCCTGAAGCGTTGTGACTGGTATTCCAGTGCACCGTCTGACTGGAAACTCTTGAGTTTGGTTCCTGACTCTCGTTCGGCGATTGGAAGCCATGTGGTGAAGGCCTCGAAGGCTTGATCGCGCGTTTTGAGATTGAAGTGCCAGACGTATCTGGTTGCGGCGTCGATGAACGTGATGACGTAGTTGAAGTCGGCTTCGGTGTCGTCTCGAGGCATGTTTAGAATATCGCTGTAGACCTTTTCCATCGGAGCGTAAGTGGGTGCGCTTGGATTGTGATGGGCTTGGAAAGGTTGATGAGGAAGATCTGCTTCGGGGCATGTGAAACACCGTGCGCGTGGTCGTCGGAGTTCCTGGCCGTTCGTCGTCAGAAGGGCGTTGCGTTCTAACACCTCTGCTTGGATTGTTTGAAGTATCGTGCTGTTTGCAGGATGTCCGAGACGTTGGTGCCAGATGTCGTCGGGAGCGCGGTGGCCGGGCGAGCGGTGGTAGATGTCGGCGTTGGAGAAGAACGCGACGACTGAGGCGGGACTTCGACAAGCTTCTCGTGTGGCGGGCATAAGTTGGTCTGCTTCCGTTGGCGGTCCTCGTGTTGATGGTGGTGGTACTCGGCTGGGTCCTGCTGCCGATACTGCAGGTGATGGTTTTGTTGGGACACTTGCGGGTACTTGTCTTTCTTGTCTGATAACTGCTAATGCTCGTGTTCTCTCTGCTGCAGGTATGGTGTTGGAGTGCCAGAAGCCGTCACTGTCGAAGTCGGGGTCAAGATCCGGCGGGTGAGTCCAGGCGGCGAACGATACGATGCCATCGCTGTCGGCAGTTCCGCGGTCGGGGACGAAGTCCAACACGAAGACACCGGACTTCAGGAGGGCACGACCGATGAAGAGGCCGCCCTTCCCGTGGTAAAGCCGGAACTCGTTGGAGTAAGAGTCGCACTCCAGGTGAATCCCCTTGGCCATTAGTTGGCTTACGCTTAGTAGGTTGTATCCCAGATTGTCGACAATGAGCACCTTGTTGAGTTGAAGTATGACATTCGTCTCCATTGATTGTAACTGAACCACGCCCTGTCTGTTTGTCTTCAGGTTTTCGTTGTTGGCGACGGTGATGACGACGTCGCGGTTGAGTCGTTTCTCCTGTTGCACGAAGCGTCCCGAGGAGCACATGTGTTGACCGCAGCAGCTGTCCAAGAACCAGGTGTTTCGCCCGGTGGGTTCGGCGTTGGCGACCGCAGCGTATGTCGGGTTGACCTGAAGTCCTTGTGAGCGCGGCGGCGGGAATTCCTCTTCGTCTGGTGCGTAAGTGGGTGGTGATCTGGGTGCGCAGTTGTCGATGTGTACCATGCAGTTGATGATATTTGGTGTCCCTTGTGCAGATGTTGAAGAGCGCCTTGGGGAACTTGCTTGAGTGGAAGCAACTTGTGGGTCTGCTGCTCGGTAAACGCGAGGGCGGTTGCAGTTGACTTTGGAGTGTCCGGAAGTCTGGCAGTTGTGGCAGAACGGCGGCACGATGGTGAG